CCCCATTGGCCTGGAGCGGCGAACCTAGGCCAGTGGGAGCCGCAATCAGCCGAACCTGCGGACTCGGCAGGTAAACAAACCAGCCCTGCCCACCAGGGAGCTTACCCTGGTGGGCCACGTGTCAAACATTGCCGATCCCTGTCCTAAAGGCTTCACTGGATAACAGCAGCCAATCAAAACAAACTGTGTGATCTTGACAGATATCATAAACTGAGTCAAGCTGGGCCTTGTCAACAGCTGGATTGGAGGCTTTCGGGTATTTAGGAGCCTGTGGATTATCTGTGCAGCAGATAGTAGCTGCTAAAACTATAGTACATTAATGGGAACATTTTAATCAAACAGAAGTTAGGAAATTCAAAGATAGGGTTCACATAGCAATGTTAAATTTATCCCTTTCATTTACTGCATGCTTTGTGATGGGTCCTGTAGGATTAAAATCTTAACTTTAATGTATATACAATGAAATCATATGAACACAAAACAAGACTGATTGCTCATATGAAATACCATAATAAAAAAGTCATATTCAAAATACTTGATCATAGACTCCCAAAGCTCATAAATCAGCCTTTTCTGCCACTCAAAATAGAGTTTAACAAGGATAAAAAGCCTTACCTGCTGTTGTGGAAAAGCTAAATTCAGGGATATTAGAAGTTTCTGCAGAAAAAATAAATAAATACAAGAATTTCTAATAAAAAGCCCATGAAATACTGGTTATATAATTGAGCTGCCAAGTCACTTTCTGATTTCTAGTTCAGACTCTCCTCTTGTTTGCACTTGCATGAATCAGTAATAATTTATTTTAAAAGATGAGTGAGTTGCTTCAGAATAAAACTTTTGCAAGTGAAAGGAGAATTAGGCCTCTGTCTCTAAATTCAGAGATCAGGAGAGTGAGTTAATTATGTCCCTCCTGTTTAGCATACAATTGACCCAATTTAAACCATGAAACATATTCCCATATTCCACCATGATGGACACCATATAAATGTGTGCAATGAAGGAAGTGGATATTTAAAATTGTTTCAAAAATATTTTGAGTAGTTTTAGCAATTATGACACAGGGCCAGAAAGGGTTAAGTAACTTGCAGGCTAAATGGCCCAAATTCAATCTTTAAAGACATATTAGAGAAGTATATAAATGGTAATTAGGGCTATTCCTTATAAATAACTAACATAGCTATGTTAAATAGACTAGAGCTTTGAAACGCAAACCTGTATTGTTAGAGAATTAGAGGTTGTACTAATTGTATGTGTTTACTTATATCTTGTTAGATGTTAACCATGTAAACAGATGGTTCCTGTCTGTTTCTATATCTATTGATGCACAGATAAAAAGGGAATATTAACATTTAGATGGAACCTGGGTGTAATAATTTCATTGTCTATACTTCTCTTTGAAGCTTGTAGTAAACTGTCTATGAACTGCTTAATGGATAATTACCTTATGCTGATGAATGCGACTAGTTACCTGTGTATACATAGGAAATAGGTAATTCTACTTCAAAGCAAATATTCTTTACCCAAGGAATGCATGCTGTCCGGAAAATATATAAAGGGCTTTTGGGACCTGATCCCTTCACTTCAGATTTGCTTAAGCTTCGTCAGGGGAAGTTTGAGTCGCAAGACTGTGGTCTCCAGTGCATTCTGGATCACCCTGATATTGGAAATGGACATTGGACTATAACCTTATAAACTGATTCTGGAAAGGAATCTTTGTAACTCTGAAGCGCACCATCTCTACTCTGAAACTGACCTAAGGACTCTATGCATTTCTGTATGTATAATGATCTTTTAACCAATACTCTCTCTCTCTTTTCTTTGAATAAATCTTAGTTTAGTTCATAAGAATTGGCTGTAAGAATGTATTTGGGTAAAATCTGAGATATTCATTAACTTGATGGGTAATGTGTCTGATCCTTTGGGATTGGTAGAACTTTTTCATATGATGAACAAGATTTTCAGTAATCCTCATCATATGTGACTTGGCGGTCTGGGTGGAAACCCAAGGCTGGTTTACTTTAAGGGAACTGTGATTTTGGCTTCTGGGTAACCAGTAAGATACTGTAGAAGCTGTTTTGTTGCTCGCTTGGTAAATCTAAGTATCAGAATAACCACCAGTTTTGGGGATTGTCTGCCCCATTCTTTGCAGTTTGCCCTAATTGAGCAATCTCACCATGGCCCCCCTGTGACCCTGGTCACAACAATCTTACTGAATTCACTGTTCAATACAGAACCAGCATTCCTACATATTTTCTAAAATACAAAAAATGGAGAAAAATAGTATGTAAAGATAAGCATTACGTGTCTGGTTTGGCTCCGGCCATACACTTAAAGTTCTATCTAAAAAGGAAAGGAGTTTATTTTGATTAACAGTATCATATGAATTTCATATTTTTAAAACTCTATCAATGCAAACTTAATGAAAGGGGGTGGCTAACCAGCCAATATGATAAACATTTTTAAGGTTGTGAAAATAATGATCATGGGCCAAATTTAATACTAGTTTAAACAAGTACAAACCTACTGAATATAAGAGAGTTTTGTCTCTTACACCAGATCTGAATTTGGCTCTCATTCTAAACTTCGTACTTGTGTAAAATAATTCTCACCTTCAGCACTCGTTCTTTCTAGTGAAGTTGTATCTGAGTAATAGAACCAAAATAGAAAAAAGTAAAAATGTACACAATAAAAAGGTAAGACATAAGCTAAATACATCAAAATATGAGAAACGTTAAGAAAATCTTGCCTGAAGCATTAATGGGGTAGGTGATAAAAGTAACGATAGAGGATTCTGCAGCAAAATAAATAAAAATAGAGAAGCATAACATTAGTGCTTAAATTTTTGTTTGTACGAAAATGGGGCCAAATTTTAAGCTCACTACACCCACAACTGGGGACAGAATTTCAAAAAGTTAAGACTCCAGTTTAGGCATCTGAAGGAAGTGGCCAGATTTTCAAAAATACGTAGAACCCACTGAGAACAAGAGGTACTGAATACTTTTGAAAATCTGAATAAGTGCTTGAATGGGGACTGCTGGTAACAGAGCTTTTTTGGAAAATTTTGCCCTTGGATATTTGCCCCATGTATAGCAGATTAGTCTGGTGCAGCCTGCCCAGTAGCTATGAACTTCCCCACCATCCTTCTACTGAAGCTGTGACAGCCCTGCCAGTCTAGTCCTGTGACTCTCTTGCAAAGATTACCAATTGTTCTGAATTGTGGTAAATTATGTGTAACATGGTCATATAATTGTCCATTGTGCCTACATACAGCCATTTTTGCTAAAAATTGACAAAAGGATGCATATAATTGCTTCAGCTATATACATGAAACAGAAAAAATGTATCCATAGAAGCAGGAACAGAGAAAACCAATGTTGAGGTGAAAATTTTAATCAAACACAAGTTGGGAAATTCAGACAAAACTGTAACATTAAATCCATTTCTTTCCATTACTGAATGTTTTATGACAGGACCCTGTAGGTTTACAATCTCAGTTCTCATGTATATACACCAGGGGTCGGCAACGTTTGGCACGCGGCTCGCCAGGGTAAGCA